ATATATATATATATATTTAAAAAATCCTGCTGCTCTGTTTGTCTTTGTTTCCTCCAGGGTAAGATCTACATGTACGGAGGAAAGATTGACTCCACGGGAAACGTGTCCAGCCAGCTGTGGGTCTTCCACATCCAGAACCAGACCTGGGTCCTCCTGAGCCCCCGGGCCAATGAGCAGTACGCCGTGGTGGGACACTCGGCCCACATTGTGCCTCCCAGCCAGGACGGGGACGGTCCTGTCATGCTGGTGATGTTCGGACACTGTCCTCTGTACGGTTACATCAGCAAGGTGCAGGAGTACAACATCGGTAGGTTGTAGCTGCGGAGAGACCGTCCCAGAAATACCTACGACACAGATTTAAGTCTCTTCAGCTGCTCCATTACCCATAAAGCTTAGTTTATACTCATCATGGTGAAGCCGGCGCGATGACATCACAGCGTGCGCAAAGGGTCTGCAAGTGGTCGTGCGCCTCTGAATTTTTGTAACGTGACTCACAAATATAAACACTATTTACACATCAAGGGATTATACAAAGAAGACCAATTCAAGTGTAGTTGCTTTAGAAACAGGAGGTCTTAAAAATAGTTTACAGGATATTCAACCTTCGTTTCTTTATAACGCTTTTAATACTTGACTTGTTTCTTTACAGTGTTCGTATAAAGACAATAAAGTAGTCCATGAATGAGATATGAGTTTACAGATAATTACAATCCCTCCATCTCCCTGGCATTGTGGATGTTGGTTTATGGCTTTAAGGAGGCTACACTCGTTTACAGTTCATTATGTTTGTTCGTCCTCTGGAGTTTCAGAGAATAACTCAACAAACAGCACATCGAGCAAAAACGCAAGAACGCCTCGGAGCTCCCGTGCCATCTGCGGAGGCTCGTGCTACGGTGCCAAACCGTAATATAACTTCGCCATAATACCTCGGTTTGTAACAGGAAATCAACACTGAACCCAAAGTTAACGAGTTTGGACTTTAGTGGTGAGCCACAGTCAACCGAACTTAATGAAGAGGTCTCACTGTGTTCTAGAAGCCAAAGGAATGAATGAAGCTGCTGGGGTGGCAGATGGACATTAAAGCGTGTTTACTCACAGATGAAAATGATTGGGTCATTCTCATGACTTGAATGATGAGCAGGGACATTTTATTTACGATGTATGTAATGCATTTTAGGAACAATAATACATGATTTCTATTGGCTTAACAGAGTGGGACCAAAAGACCTTTTGTTAAATGTAGTTTCCTTATTGTTTTATTATATTATGATGACTTGATGCCCAGTAAAATGTATTTTTCTTTGTTCTTCACCCTCCAGTCAAGAACACTTGGAGCATGGTGAGCACAGCCGGTGCTCTGGTTCAGGGCGGCTACGGCCACAGCAGCGTCTTTGACCCCAGCACCAGAGGCATCTACATCCACGGAGGCTACAAGGCCTTCAGCGCCAACAAGTACGGCCTCGCCGGAGACCTGTACAAGTTGGACGTGGACAAGAGGAAATGGTGAGGCTTTCTTTATTCGGACAATACTGTAAAGTATTTCGTACTGACACACACTATATCATGTGATAGAGCAGTTTGGTGTGTGGACACAGAGATTTATTATTCAGCTTATATTTGATGTTATACAATCTGTTTGAGTAAAATCTCACAGTGCAAGAATTAAGAATGCAAAATGAAAACATCTCGAGTCGTTATATTTATATGAAATGGTCATTAAATGATTAGATTAGAGTAACAAATAATAAGAAAACTAAACAAGAAAAAAGAATAAAATACATGCATCAAATTCTGAATAAAGTAAATATATAGTTAGTATTTGTTCAAAAAGAAATAGGCAGAAGCAAACATTAAATGTTCTTCACCATTCTGTAACTTAAAGAGCTTGATAATTTTATGTACATGAATAATCATCTTAATCCAGCGTATTGAGTGAGTATCGGACAGACATCAGTGACTGTCGGTGCATCTCTAACCGTTATAAAGTTATGAAGTTTAAATAAGAAGATGTGCTTGCACACACCTGTTGCATTGAATCTGAAAATCTGAATTAATCAAATCAGTTTTGCTCTTTGCATTAAAAGTTCTGCGCCATAAAATTCTGTTGTGAAAACTGAGACAAAAGCAGCGGTTAAATCTTGTAAAAAACAAAATGCTGTTTTAATGGTCGGGGAGGACGTCCGTTCTGGGATGCGTGCCTCTCTTTAGTCCCACGGATAGTTCGGTACCAGCAGCATGTGGGGGGATAAGCCATAAAGCAGAATAACAAGCATCGCTGTGCGTTTGCAGGACCATTCTGCGGGACAGCGGCTTCTTCCGTTACCTCCACACAGCGGAGATAGTGAGCGGGGCCATGCTGGTGTTTGGAGGAAACACGCACAACGACACGTCCATGAGCCACGGCGCCAAGTGCTTCTCCTCCGACTTCCTGGCTTACAGTCTGGGTCAGTAACGCACACTCGTCCTGCAGTCTGTTTCCTCTGCCTTTTATTCAGCTTAGCATCCCCCCCCCCCCCCTCTCTGCACTGAGCTGCTTTGCATTCACACAGCTGCACAGACTCACACCTGGGAGCTGCTCAGTACAACCGCAGTGTTTTGTTGTTGGACACTGAGCGGCTCCACTGGAGCAATGGAAGGTCGCTGCTTGATGTACACAGACGGTAAATCCGCGGCCGCTGTTCTTCATGCATAATACTCAAAATAATGCGGTCTTACGTTTTTCCGGAGGTGGAGTGGTTTCGCGCTAACATTTGTAATATCTCCAGACGGAACGCACTTAATTGTGTATCACGATATCTCAAAATATCATTAAATCACGATATGATTCCATTGAAAGAAGATAATTTATGATTTTAAATTACCGCCAATCCCGAGGTCACTCTGCTCTGTGTACAGTTTGTCTTCAATCTGAACTCTGGATAACAGAAAAGGATGACAGACTCACACAACCTGGTCAACCTTGTAGAAACCTTTTTTGTTTTGCTTATAAAGCAGGTTTAGGTGCCATAGAAATGCTGTTAAAGTATAAAAAAAGGAGGAACGCACACAGCCCGTATTCAGAAACTGTGCCTTTAAACGAGCCATCAGGACTTATGTGAGGTTGTGATGACAGCAATAAACAGTCAGCGGCAGATGTGCAGTGTGTAGTTGACACACACACACACACACACAGTGAGACCCACAGATGCAGAAGACCTGAAAACGCTGACCAATCAGAGCAGACGGGGCTTTTTCTTGGGAGGGGACTCTTAAAGAGACAGGTGCTAAAACTGAGCGTTTCTGACAGGCTTCTCATATTCAAGCAGACAGTATGAGGAAAAAATAATGTGCTTTTTGAATATTAAAGCATGAAAACATGTAGTAGAAACCCCAAATACAAGTATGAACCTGAAATATGAACGTGATATGTCTGGCTGGTCTCATCAGCATTCATAGCTGTACATTGTAGATATCCCACGTATTTTATATTGAATGTTATCCACGTAATCATGAATGTGGACGTATAAAGACAGCAAAAGCCCACACAGGACGGAGTGTAGGGGCAGTGATCTTTCATCCAGGAGGCAGCTGTTCCTTCAATGTCGATTTATTTGTCACGTAAACTTCTCATAACTTGTGTATAGTAGTTATACATCTTCAGTAGTTATTTTAACCCAAACGACGATCTTTTCCTAAACCTAATTAAGTAGTTTTGTTGCCTGATCCTAACTGAGTAGTTTCCTGTGAAGACGGAAGTTTATTTTGAAATAAAACGTATATATGTAACAAGCAGAGATGACACGTGTTGCTGGCTTTTGTAGGAAAATAGACCAAAAGATGCAGGGTAACTATTCGTAAGATATCATAGGAGCCGTTGTAGGATACGTTGCTCCTTTCAGGGAAATGTTAATGCTTACAGCATACAATGCTATTTTACACAATATAGTGCGTTTTCAACTTTGTGGTTTTGAAGAACGGACCTCAGCACCTTTTGGGGATGAACTGGAACGCTGACTGTGAGCCGAACATCAGTAGCCAATCCCTGCAGCCAGGTTTCAAAGTCTGGTGGACAGCCTGAAGCCAGCAGAGTGGAGGCTGCGGTAGCAGGGGAATGCCCCCGGTGAATCAGATGTTTAGTTATCTGTCTGATTTATAGACAACTTTAAAATCCTTTCACCGTCACAACATCCTCAAAACCTCTAACTCTCCTGCTAAAAAAAAAAGGAATTCAGCTGTGAGCAATATACAGCATGAAATGCGTCTCATGGTCTTTTATTAGTGTGTCTGATATCTGTGCTTTATTCACATTAGTACCTTAAAGGAAAGTCAGGTCTTAAGGGGAAACATTGATTGGCAGATCAGATTTTGTGGAGCTTCCCCTCGAGCTGCACTTCACACTCGACTCCTGGAGGATTTCTCGGTGAAGGTACAAAGTGATCAAAGCTTAATAATGGAAGTCTGGGGTTCACACCGGTTGCTTCGGGGACGTCTCTAATGTTTATTCTTGTGCTCTCCTCTTTGTACTGCTAAGGTGCCCTTAATCAAGACTCTCTCTCTCTACCCTCGCTTTGAGAGAGAGAGAGAGAGAGAGAGAGAGAGAGAGAGAGAGAGAGAGAG